CAGCATACCTGATTCGAAAACCAACAAACCAAGATCATTTGTAATTAATCAGATCTACTTGAATGTTTATCGAAAGTATGTTTCGTTAAGACCAGAAAATATGAACAGTGATCGATTTTTCTTTAAATATCAAAGCTGAAAGGTTGTAGACAAGTGGTAGGAATTCATCAATTTAGAAAAATGCCCAAAATAATTGCTACTTATTTGAACTTGGTAAATCCGACAGAATATACTGGTCACTGCTTTCGTCGGTCTTCTGCAACAATATTGGTTGACTCTGGTGCCGACATAACTAGTTTAAAGAGGCATGGCGGATGGAAGTCATCAAACGATGCTGAAGGATATATCGAAGAATCGCTTAACAATAAGGTTGAGGTGGCAAATAAAATTTTCACAGTACAAAATATTCAACAAAATGACACTTCCACCCTGCATGTTGTCCAAAATGTTTCTCATAGTTCTAAGAGTGTTCCTCCAATGTTCAATAATTGTACTAACTGTCAAATTACTGTAAATATAACAAATTGATCTTAAAAATGTATTCAGCAATGACTTGATGTTTTCAAAATATAAATTGATTCCTTATAAGCAATGTGTTTTCTATCATTTATGTAGAACACTAACAACTGTACGGAAATATCATTTCCTTACAGTAAAAAAAATGACATTTCCTTACAGTAAGGAAGTCCTGACTTTTTTCTTCAAGAAATTTTGACAGGAATGTCAAAATTTCCTGGTGATTTGCGGAAAAGTAGATTCTATCTTTATTGCACCTCCAAGCTCACATGTTTTAACCGATAAAAGTATAGAGTATAAGATGACGAAGCCATAAATTAACAATATTTATATGGAAGAATGAATGAATACCAGAAGTGTCGCTGAAGGGAATAATATGTTCGTTGCATAAAAAGGGAGATCAACTGGAGTGTAAGAACTATAGAGGCATTACTCTGTTAGCATCTGCGTATAAAATCTTCGACAATGTATTATTTGAAAGACTTATCATTTTACAAAGGATATTGTTGGTCAATATCAATGCGGATTTACTGATGGAAAGTTAACTGCACATCAAATTTAAGCACATAGATTCTAGAAAAGTCACTTGAATATAACATAGATACACACCATTTCTTCATTGACTTCAAAGCAGCCTATGACAGTGTAAAAAGAACTGCATTATATAATGCAACGATAGACTTTGAGATCCCACCTAAGTTAGTTAAGTTGACCCAACTAACAATGCAAAAAGTAAGGTCACGCGTTAGAATTGAAGGAGAAAACTCTGCGTTATTTGACATTAATAATGGTATAAGACAGGGATACGCATTGATGTGTCTTCTTTTTAATATGGCATTGGAAAAGGCAATCAGACAATTCAATATTAGAATGAATGGAACTATTTTTAATAGATCGACGCAAATTCTCGCATTCGCTGACGATATAGTTATAGAGGCAGAAGTATTAGAGACACGGTGCAGTGTTTTACAAACCTTGCAGACGCAGCCAGTGAATTAGGACTTGTGGTAAACGAGGAAAAAACCAAATATACGTTGGTTTCTGAAAACCCTCGAAATATTAAACAGAGAATTGAAATTAATAACCATACCTTTGAGCAAGTCAAAGTATTTACATATCTTGGATCGCTAATAAACGCCACAAACACGACAAGTGACGGAATAAAAAGACGCATAGCAATAGCAAACAGAACTATCCACGGCCGCCAGAAACATTTCAAAAATAAAAATAAAAAACGTCCAGTAAAGCTTAATATATATAAGACCTTAATAAGACCGGTTTTGATATAGGGGGCTAAAACGTGGACCTTACCTTAAAATGATGAAAGACTTCTTGGTATTTTTGAGAGAAAAATATTCCCAAAAAGATTTTTGGGACTGTAAATGAAAATGGGCTATGGCGTCGAATACAACTTTAAAATATATCAGTTATACACCTATCCAGATATTGTGAAATTCGTTAAAGTGCAGAGACTTGGATGAGCTGGACACATTGGTAGTATGTAAGATTACGAATACACGAAGATATTAACATTTTTAAAACCAGAGGGCACAAGATGCAGAGGACAAGCACGAATCAGATGGATTGATGATGTTAAAGAAGACCTACAGATTGTAAGGGTTAGAAGATGGGGGGGGGAAGTTGCTCTAGGAATAAACAGGAGTAGCGACTTCTTCTTTGTGAGCAGGCCAAGATTCACAACGGATTGCCGAGCCACTTATAATGAAGATGATAAAGAGACATTAGACCTTTATGGACAAAAAAAGCATATCATTGGATATCTGGGAGCTTTCGACAATAAATAAGATACTTATACGACTTTTTATAAATAAGAGACTTTACAATCCCAGACCCCTCTCTATATTAAGAACTATCGCTATCTCAACTTTTTGAAACTTATTTTGACGATGACCTTTTACTTTTTCTTATTGAAGAAACTTCTCGTTTTGCTTTTCTCAAAAAATTTTTAGGCAGAAAGTATAAAAAATCAACTAAAATGTTTTCTGGTATGTGGTATGTAAAAACTCAGTGTTTCTGGAAAAACTATATTATTGGATTACCCAAGTAGACATAGGAAATTTTATGATGCCGATGCAATAACGCGTTACTTATGTTTCCCAATAATAAGATTTATACATTGTACAGATAATATAAAACCAGATGAAAAGGACAAAATATGAAAATTTCGTCCATTTATGGATAAACTGAAAAATAAATTCTGAGAACATTATCACCCCAAACGTCAGATGAACTATGATAAGAGGATGATAAAATATTAATGGATGCCAGTATTGTAATAAATTCATACGTGGTATGCCCATAAGATTTAGTTACAAAACGTGGTCTTTGAATATCAAATCAGGATACCTAGTATCAGCAAAATATATCGAAAAAAAACATTTCTCAGTAATATTAGATTACAAAAGGTTACCATATGACCTTTACGATGATAACATCAGGAAAAGAAATAACAAAAAAAAAAATCTAGAAAAAAAACAACTAGATATATATCAACAGAAACAAAAAAGCTTATGGATAAAAGAAGGAAGCTGAACAAAGAAGGCAAAAGGAAATCTATAGAATATGTAGAAATTAATAAAACAATAAGCAGAATGATAAAAGAAAATAAGAGAAAAGAACAAGAAATAAAAATAGAAGTAATACAGAACAACAAAAATATGAAATGCTTAAGACCGAAATTAGGTAAGTTTAAAATAAACAAATAAAATATGTAAACGGAGTAGAAACAAATATTAACTATGACATCATAAATATAATCCAACATTTCTACTCAGAATTATATAAAACAAAAAAGGAACCACCAGAAGAAATTAAAAACCAACTTAACGCTAAAATAAAAATGTCAACTCAGAGCTACAGCCAGAAATAAGCAAATCAGAAATAAACAAGGCATTGAAAGAAAAGAAAAAGAACGAATTGCCTCGAAAAGATGGAATAACTGCAGAGATACTGAAATATGGTGGAAAATGGGCAATTAATACTCTTCATTCACTACTTAACAAGATATTAAAGGAAAAAAGAATCCCAAACAACTGGAAGAAATCCGTAAACATTATCCTAAACAAGAAAGGGGATAAAGCAGATATAAAAAACTACCGTCCCTATAACACCAATACCCAATAGATTGACGACAACATTCGACGAATACCAGTCGAAAGAACAAGCTGGTTTTAGAAAGAGATTCAGCACAAGTGACCATTTACTAAGTATGAAAATACTTATATAGAACGAGCAAATGAATACCACATTCCTCTATATAGCGTTTATAGATTTCGAAAAGGCTTTCGACCGTGTCGAACATTGGGCAGTGAAAAATTCTTTGATTAACAGGTGAATTGACTACAGATATTGGGGAGGTCTATGTTGAAAGATGGACCGAAGTAGATGGATATATTCGATTAGACTAAAAATCACTGAAAGGTTGACTGAGATCTTGAAAACACTAAGGAAGACATTAAACAGGACGTAGAAAGCTTGGCGCAATGATAATTTACGCGGTTCTATCCGGAAGACTGTAGAGTTTAATAATAATACTTATAATATTATTAATTTTAGCTCTAGGTAGAATTCTTTAATTATATTTAAAAATAATTTTGGTTACTACTGGACATAAAGTTTCCTCATTGTCAAGCTGGCTCTGAAGAAGAGCCTCTCTCTTGGGACTATCATAGCTGAAATTAATGGGTTATCCCTGGTTAAACATGCCATTGTAGGATATTTATTTTAGTTGTGTGTTTACCAAGATAAGACGTCCACGTTTTTGCCTTCTCGTTCTTCTGCTAGATCTAGTTCGCCGTCAAGGCGCACCCTTTTCTTGTACAGTAATAAAATTTTGATACAGACCTCGCCACTAGAGGACACAGAAAAATATCCAACTTCTTGTTTGCTTCCATGTTGTGGATTTTCTTTCATATTTTTTACATAATCCTTGGAGTTTTGTGTCTGTTTCTTGTTTCAAGAAACGGACCCATTCCAATAAATCGACAGCTAGGTATTTTTCGCACGTAGTGCGGAAGACTCTGAACTTTTCAACTTAGTCCTTTAAGTTGTCAAGGCACAAAAAAGAAATGTTTGTTATGGATGCCAGGACATAGAGGAGATTGGCGATAATATTGGTAAAGGAGGCACTTAGCATGGTGGAAAAAATCCGAAAATAAAACTTAATGTAGCTTACTGGAAAAGAAGAAAGGTAACGAAACAGTTTATTACGATTTCCGGTTTGCTAAACAAAAATACTCTGACAGCCTAGAAGACTGAACTCAGATAATCACAAATTGTTTTCACTCAACACTGCTCATTTAGATTGTATAATCTTCGTAAAATGAGCAAATTGATTAAAAAAATATCCTAATTAATAAAGTTCACCTGAATATTAAAAATAGTTGCAGTTTATCATTATCAATTTAAAACTAAAATAATTTTTTCAATAGTAGAACAATTTTATATTTATAAAACTATCTTACCTGGTATAGAAATATTAGCAATAGGTATTTGTCGCACATCTTGCGGTAACCGCGACATCCAATTTTCTAAATCGTCGGCCAAATCTCTAAACTCGTTACCCATTTTAAAATTTTCTAGGTTAAGAAACTATTGTTTTGTGGTCACTACCGATTATTACGAACTGACAGCTGCCTCCGTCTATTAATACTAAGATCAGCTTCATTACTAATCAATAATAATTATAAACAAATACACATACTTATGATAAAAAACGTCAATTAAGGTAACAAATAAATTTTTACAAAAATGATAAACATAATTACCACGTGACACTAATTCTAGTAAGTAACTGGTATGCAAGGTTCACTTAAGCAATGTAGAGATGGGTTCGTCATTTTGTTTTCGTTATCTTTATGAATTTGTATTTTTAGTTATGATGATATAAATATACATATTATAACCCTTTAATTTTATAATAAACACTCGTACTAATTTAATATATCTTCTACAAAATTTTACGACAATCACACATCATAAAAATAAAAAAAAAAAACTAATATGCTTTCGACTAAGAATTTGTTATATATATATATATATATATATATATATATATATATATATATATATATATATATAAATTTCGCCCGGTAAATGGGAAGTATAGAAAGATGTGAAACGACCACGCTAGAACAGTTCCTGTTACCACATAGCTCTCTGGAGTATCTGCGGATCTCTCCTAGGTATTCGAGAGACTAGGAATGGATGAACTGCTTCAGCGGCCAAGAAGCAGCTTACTCAAGTGAGAGGTAATCGTGCCGATGGCTGTATGGCCACAGGATTTTATGTGGTCGTGAACGATCCCCTTGGGGAACCAGGCAAACCCTATTGTATAAAGCCTTCCAAAAGGGAAAACATCCAAAACCAAATTTCGAGGCTGGACCAAAACGTTTACCTCAGTTTGAAGCCGCAGCTGAGGATGAACAGCAATGTTTATCTCAAGTTTCGGCCCAAGCGGAGGATAGACAAGAACCACCTCAGAAAAATCGGTCTAAACGCCGCAGAATTTGCGGCGCCGAGGCAAAAAGAAGGAGGAAAGCTAGAGAGGCAATGGGAAAAGCACCCACGAGAGCAGCTCATACTACTCCAGCCCCTCACAAAACAAAGGTGAAGGTGCCCACATTGGAGGCATCACAACGGTTCCACCTCCAAAAGAGGACAGGGACCAACAGCCCCCGGTGTGAAGCGCCTTCATCCAAGTACCTTTACGGAGGGCACTCCGAGGAAGCATAAGAAGTCACGAAGTGGTGGAAACTGCTGCTACGCATTCCCAAAGCTTGGCGGAAGCCGCCTTAAGACATCTAAAGGTCGCTATTATAGATAAGGTAAACTCGTACGGAAAGGTTACTGCTGACCGGGAAAACCTTATTAAATGCAGCCTGAACAGAATTGGACAGAACAATCTTGCCCACCTCCAGCAGCCAGATAAAATTCCCACGTTCAAATCATGGACTTACTCAGGTGAGTTCATCAGAGTAGTCTGTGATGACGATGGGGCGCTTGCATGGCTGGAAAAGGCTACAGCTGATCTCAAACCGTAGGAGAAAGAATCACTGGTTGTTGTCAGTCAAGATAAGCTCCAAAAACGTACCAAAAGCCTCTCTATGGATCCCGGAGGATGCTCTAATGACCTAGAAAGAGTGCTGCAGAGGTTAGCTGCGCAAAATCCAGACATATATTGTCTGGATTCATTTACTTTTTCAAAGTTCATAATACAGAGAAGTTTCAGATCCAAGTATGTCAAAAAGCATTTTTAAATATTTTACATGTAACGAAAAGCAGAATTCAAAGAGTAGCAAGTAGTTACATTAAAAGCAGTCAAATGCCTATCGAAAGAAGGGGTAGTGCTAGGAGAGGAAAACATACTGAAAAAGACAGATTCGTGAAACAGTTTATAGAAAATTTAAAATGTATTGAAAGTCACTATTGTAGAGGCAAAAGTACTAGACAGTACTTGCCATGTGAACTTTCTCTTGAAAAATTAATGGAAATGTTTAACAATAGTTGCCCTGAAAATTTAAAAGTTAAACAAGGTTTTTTCAGAAAAATTTTTTGTGAAGATTATAATATTGGCTTTGGCACTCCAGTTACTGTTGCCTGCTCTCGATGCATTGAGCTAACAGAAAGAATAAAAAACGAAAAGGATAAAACTATAAGAAATAAACTTATGATCGAAAAAAGTTACATAAGCTTCATAGCGCAAAATTTTTTCATTTTTTGCGTGAAGAAATGTTGACATTTTCATACGACTGTCGGAAAAAACTTAATTAACCTGAAAATTACCGATGCAGAAATTGCGCCTGAAGTATTTCATATTCTTTCTTTCACTGATATAAAAAACATTTCAAAATTAGAACTGTGCGCCGATGATTGTGTAGGACAAACTGAGATAGAGTATTTGGCAGGATCGAGAGGAAATTTAAAAAAATGGCTGTCATAACCAACCCAGACACCTACATACAAATTTTCAAAGAAAGGGTAACGGTCCATAAATTGGAAAATTGCCATATAAGAGACGATCTACAAAGAAATGTCGCAAAGGTGTGCATTTTAAAATATCACACTTAGGCGAATCATTGTAGAAAAAAAGAATAAAGAAGATGTTACAGTAAAAGGAGAAGAATATTACAGTAGTGACTTTTGTCATTAATTGCCTCTCTAGAAACGTGGAAAAAATATCTCAAAAATGGTACTGGATGATTTGCCAAAGGGAGTTTAAGTTAAAAATGCCAAAATTAAAGACATTGATATTTTATTAAAAAGTCACTTTGGTTCGGAATGAAAAAACAATCCTAAGTGTTAGTTTTTTAAAAACTTTATGGAAGAAGTTAAGAGAAAGAAATAGAGAAAGATTACTGCGAAAGTTATTTTCCGGAACCTGCTGAATTAAGAGTTTATTAAACAAAAAAGTGCGTCTTATCCACTACGTTGTTCCAAAGTGCGTCTACCAAGGTATCTCTAGTCAATTTTGTCATTTATTTTAATTGAAAATTTTCTACCAAAAAATTTATTATAGTAAAAAATTAAAAACTCTTTGTTTATGCATATATCAATTAATGATTTTACGTTCGAATATTTAAATGAATTTTACTCTAAACTATGTTTATTTTGTTGGAAATTATTTAATATAAATAATTACTAGATACCTATAATTTAATCAATGTTCAAGCAATATTTTAAATACATACAAATGTGGACCATAATTAAATAAATATTATGTTATTACATTAAAATAATTTCTAAAGCTAGTATTAAAGCAATTATTTGTTATCCGCAGTAATTGATTAAACAAAAATCAAATTTTTTTGTGACATTGATAGAACATGGCATTCGTTATGTACAATATCATTAAAAAGACAAAAAAAAATTGAACTTTTTTATCACCCATAACATTTTATTTGCTATAGAAGAATTGTGCATTATAGGGAAATAAAATAATTTTAGTTTGTCCTTAGTGGTACGGTTAATTTAAAATATTCTGACGGATGTTTTACAAAGTAGTTTGTCACCAATGGCTATACTAAGCGTCGCAAACAAATATCCAGCAGTAATGGACAAGCAGACTAGGACTCCATTTATATTGGTAACGCTTTTACGTGGCTGGGATGTCTTGATGAAACCTTTCTCCTTATTCAACACTTACAGCATCTAAATTTTCTGTAAAAAAATTGAGATAAGTATCCAGGAGGTGAATTTTTAGAGACATGTTACATCCCATTTATCTGTAGGCACTAAATAATTCAATAAGAAGATCTCTGTAATTGTCAGCTTTTAGCTCTCCATGCTCCTATTTAAACTTTATTCAGCAAGTTATCAAACTCGCTATGTATCATTTTTTCTATCAAAAAATATGCTAGAGACAACAAAAATTTAAATACTAAAAACAATCACTAGAAACACTGAGGAAAAGAAAGAGAAGTGACGAAATCAAAACAGAATTTATGGTCAAAAAGATAGGCGACTGGATACTGAATAAGTAAAGAAAATGAAACAATCATATAAACAAAATGACAGATGATATGATAGATGAGATCTCCTCTTCATTCCTTGAGCCTTTATCAGGGCGTGGTGACAATCTAAATATTGTTAGCTTGCTGTCTTTCTTGGCTATGATCCTGTGTCAGATGAACGGCTTCATGTAAGTATTTTCTTCCAGAGTCTTCATTTGGATTGTCCATCGTATTGGAGACCTTCCTTATAGTCTTCGACCTTCTACCTTTCCTTCATACTACCAATAGATCCATAGTCTCCATTCTTCTGGCTATATTACCGAAGTAATTTGGGTAAGCTCGGTTTACTTTTTTTAATAACCTATCTTTTAAATGAGACTATTCCACAATTGCCAGACTGGTTTTTTGTTTTGTCCAGAATTCTTCAAAATTGTTTCGTTGTCTCATATTTTGAAGATTTAGAATAACTAATTAACCAACCTGAGCTAAGTATTTCTTGTTATTTTTCGGTATTCTCTTCAGTTGCTCTTTCGAAACTTTTTATTTCTTGAAAAATTAAAATATGATCCTCATTGATCACATGCTCTGCCAAGGCCCAAGATTCGAAATTTCTGTTGATATCACTTTAGACGACACTTTAGAAAAAGTTAATCTAGGAGATAGGTTACGTGAGGTCTGACCGACGTCAGATTGAATTTCACTTCAAATGTACTGAAACTTTAATTGAAGTTTAATTCAAAGTTTTCATTTTACTAAACTTTCTTTGGGCCAATTTGGTTAAACACGTCAAAAATTAAAATATTTTTATACTAAATAAAGTTTTATTAATTTATTTTAAAAATTATCACCATTGTATAACATAATTGATATACTATCTGTTCGAAATTCTTACAAAAGAATCAGTAAATATTTATTTATCCAAAAGATGATTTCTATCCTTTTATGTTCATCTAGGGTATACGGTATCATCATCATCATCATCCAGCCTCTATTTATCACGTCCACTGCTGGACATAGGCCTCCCTTAAACTCCTCCATTCCTCACGATTTTGTGCTCTTTGTTGCCAATTTTTAGTGATACGCCTGATGTCGTCGGCCCAACGTGTAGGTGGTCTTCCTCTACTGCGTTTGTCTGCTCTTGGCCTCCAATTTGTAATTTTGCTCGTCCATCGTGAATCGTGCATTCTCGCTACATGGCCTGCCCAGTTCCATTTAGTTCCGCTATGCGTTCCACAACATCAGTAATACTCGTCCTTCTTCGCAGATCTTCGTTTCTTATTCGGTCCCTCAACGTCACTCCCGTCATTCCATTCGTCTCTGTGCCACTCTCAGTTTCGAA